GTCCTTTGGTGCTTGTGAGTAAAGATGTAGAAGGGGTAAGAATAATCTACACTTTAAGTTTAGTAGGAGTAATTAGGATGGTGGAACACACTTAATTTTATTCCAGAGTGGATTGTTAATGCTTAAAGTGATTTTTTATTGTTCCTGTTTGTGTGTTAAAATAATGGAGAGTAAAGGGTAAGTTTTTTAAAAAACCATGTTCATTTTAAGCAAATAATCAAGTGTTTACTCCATTGCTAAACATTGAGGTAAAGATAAATGAGAGAACAAATCAGATAATCCTCTTTGATCAATTCATTTTGTATTCTCCTGGATTTAGTATCTTGAGTTGTTAAACTTACTTGGTTAGTATTCTTATGTTACCTATTGATCATCGAATGTAGTGCTGGCCTTTTGGTAAAACAGATTCATTGTCAGGTCCTAGTTTAAGGGACAGGGAGTCCAGGCCCATACAGGAACTTTTCCCACTCTTTTAAGGTTAAGTTAGAGATCCATGAGCAGAGACAACGTAGGGAACAGAACAGGGCAGGCTAACTTACACTATTGAGGAAGCAGCAGGTGGGTCAGGAGCGGTCTGCTGCACCATAGGGGTCACTCCCTGGGGCTGAGGTTTGAACTCTTGCTGCTGTGGCTGCAATAGCCTCATAGTGCTGTGTTTTAATCCGTTGTGCCACCAGGGAGGGACCTAAAATTATTACTACTATTATTATTATTTTTTTTTTAAATGTATTTTCTTTGGTATAGGCCAGAGGTGCCCTAGTGGCGCAGTAGGTTAAAGTGCAGCTCTATGAAATGATCCACAGTCACTGCAGAAAGGGTTCGACCCCAGCCAGGGAGCTGACCCACATGGCCGCGGCCTGTACCCCAGTTCTTGTATGAATAAATAAAAATCTTTTAAAAAGAAAAGAAAAAAAGTCCTTGAATTGTGTACTTTTAAGTTTATCTGTGTGGCGTGTAAACTCACAAGTTTTTTAAAAGTATCACAAGATGGCCCTCCCCAGTGGTGCAACAGGTTAGGACGCAGCACTGCAGTCCTCCTGCAACCACTTTGTGAGTTTGATCCTCAGCCCTGGAGGTGACCACATGGCATGGCAGACCTCTCCTGGCCCACCCGCTGCTCCCCTTAGCATTGTACATCGTCATTCTGCCTGTTCTGCTTCCTTCTCTGGTGAGTCCTCTCACCACCCCTGCACTCTTGCTTGTACCCCAGTTTTGTATGAATGAATAAATCTTTTTAAAAAAATGAATATGGTCAATTACATCAAATCAAGTTAAACCATATTAAAAAAAATCACAAGAAGGCAAATAGTTTCTCATCTTTTTAATTTTTTAAAAAGATTTATTTATTTATGCATACAGACCTGGGGTACAGACCAGAGGTGCAGGGCAGTGAGAGGATTCACAAGAGATCAGAGTGGGGAGCAGAACAGGCAGACTGACAAAGTACACTGCTGAGGGGAGCAGTGGGCTAGACAGGAGATGTCTGCCACATGGGGATCAGACTTGCACTGAAGCAACTGCATCTAGCTTGCAGTGCTGCTCTTTAACCTCCTGTGCCACCAGGGAGGGCCCAGTTTCTCATCTTTTTAATTACAAAAACTCAGTTTCAGTCAGTGTCTCCTGGTACTGTTACTTTTAGTTTTGAAAGTAAGTAAATACTGTGGGGTCTTTATCAAGTTTTTTGTTGTTGTTGTTGTTTTAGTGTCTGGTGTATTATAAAAACACTTCATCAGCTAACCAAAACAAGTGATTCCAGCCTCTAACTATGACTGCTGTAAATACAGACTCTAGAACTTGGATCACCCCTACTCAGAAAAACCAGTGCTGCTTATTGAAAAAGAGCAGATTTCCTTTTTGCTATGTTTCCACATTTCATTAAGTGATTTTATACGTGGAATTTTGTTTACTATTTTGATTTCTCATTACTGCCATTTTCTACCCTGTTTGGTTAATCTTGAACGCAGTGCTGTTGTGGAAAAACCTGGTGTAGACAGACAATCTCTACAGCAAGGAATTCCCCTAAAGCCCCTGTGGTAGATGATGCCTTTCCAAGTATCTTTAGTAACATTGTTAAGTTTATGTTTCTAGTCTCTTACTACATGAAGCTGTTCTCTTGCTTTCCTACTTTAGACTTTAGAAGGGGTGGTAGATAATTTCTTTCTAACTTTTTTGTTTCTTTGAACATACACAGTACCAATCTACTTCACTGTTTTGTTTAGATGAGTCCCGTGTTGTAAGAGAAATTGAAAGCAGTTTTGAATAGTCAGACCCTTTCACTAGATTGTCTAGTGTCAGTTTGTTTCTATTGTCAGTTTGTTTCCTAGCATTGCTGCTTTAATGTCTGATCTCCAGTACTTTACCACTGATCTCCAGAGTCTCTTTCTGCTAATTTTGAATCTTTGGTATGGTTTCTATCTCCTTAAAAGCAGACCTGAAGTTCAGAGAGACCTGTTGTTATAGAATAAAAACAGTGGAAGTAGATTGGTACTGTGTGAGCTTTTTTTTTTTTTTAATGTGTGAGCATTTTTAAAGAAACAAGTCAAAAAGAAATTATCTACCTCCCCTTCTACCTCTTTTGTTGATTTTGCTACTCAAGACACTAAGGCAACTCCTTTTTTTCCTTATTTAGTCAGCGTCAGCATAAAAACAACAAGGACAGCTCCTTTATTAGATCCTGTAAGAAGACCTTTTGTTCAAGGTCATCTGTATGTGACAGTGTGCTGTAGGTCACCAACTTCACCAGGCTCTGGTCTGGCTGCTGTGCTGAGAAGAAAGATCTTCGTAATTGGTAGCATCCTCTTTGCTCCTGTGGTGCCAGGGCCTGGCCTAAATGACCCTCACTGGTGTATGCAGCTGGTCTGGTTCATCACGGTGAAGTTACTTGAAGGGCTTTTTTTTTTTTTAAGATTTATTTATGCATACAGAATTGGGGTGCAGGCCAGATGAGCAGGGGTGGCGAGAAGATTCAGAGTGGGGAGCAGAATAGGCAGTCGGCCGAAGTACACTGCTGAGGGGGAGCAGCAGGTGAGACAGGAGAGGTCTGCCGCACTATGTGGTTCAGCTCAGGGCTGGAGTTGAACTCAGCAGAGGGGGCTAAGGCTGCAAGTGCGGCCAGCTTCGCAGTGTGCGCTCTAACTAACCACTGCTACCAGCGAAGGCCAGGACTTAACTTTTAGAATGACTTTAAGTATTAGGAAGACTAGGTCTGTTTTATTTATATTATCTTGTTTTCAGGTTATATATAGTATGTTTGCCATACATTTTTATTTACTTGATTAGGAAATCAACTTTTCTATAAACAATTATGATACCTTTTTAGAACTTACTGAATATAAGCCTGCATTAATGGATTAAAACAGTGTGATTGATATGTAGCTGGCAATTTAGGGTTGCTAAAAGTTGGAACCCCCAGGCAGCCTTTTAAATAGGTAGTATTTGCCACTTAACTTTCAGGAACCCAAATTTCTGCTAAACACTTCTTCTCATTAGGCTGTTGTTGGGGTCCCAAACATGAGACAAGTAGAATAAATACTCCCTGGCCCTTCCTGGTCGAATAATGAGTTAATCACAGCACCATGAAGCTCACCACAACTGCTTCACCACAAGTTTGATCCCTGGTCCAGGGATGTGATCCACATGGCGCAGCAGACCTCTCCTGGCCCTCCCCCTCCCCCTCGCTCCCCTCAGCTGTGTATCTCACTGATCTGCCTGTTCTGCACCCTGCTCTGCCTTTGGTGAATCCTCTCTGCGCCTCTGGCCTGTACCCCAGTTCTGTATGCATAAATAAATCTCTTTTTAAAAAAAGAATAGATACTCCCAAAATGTTCTGGTGACATCAACAAGCTGCCTATCAAGTGCCAAGCACAGTGCTGGCATACTCACTAATTAGGGACATCAAGAAGAAACTTAACCATCTATAGTGAAGCAGGAAAGGAGTAATTGAATTCTTCCTTATCTTTGATAGTTTTTTGACTAAGGAAGCTTGCTTCGGTCTTTGCCAGTGTCATTTCTTTTCCTCAATAAAAAACAAAACACAAGATTGTTTCAAATGTTGAGTTCAATGCTCTAGAAAACAAACAAAAAACCAGGATACTAAACTAGATCCTATAGAGTGACTTGAGTGGGCTGCTTTAGATTGTGAGGTGTATAACCTTTGAGCTGAGATTTGACCTTGCACTGGAGTACCAGTAGTGTCTTGAACCAAGCAGTGTCTTTGAACTTTTGAGCTTTAGATAGTGAGGTGATAACTTTTGAGTTGATATTTGAATAACAAGACTCTGAGAGGAAGGTGAAGTGTTTCTTGATAGTTATTTTCCTATTGAGCCAAGGGCAAAATCACTTTCAGGTGTTAACTAACTTAGTGATCTTTGACAGAGCCTTCACTTTGAGTTTTGAACTGTCTTATATAAACACCTCAAGTTTTTGCTTTTCAGATCGTCAGAGTTCCAGTTGGGTACAAAGGAAAAATAGTGAGATTGTTTGATAGAGCACCTTGCAGCTTAAACTCAACAGTTATTTGTCAGGGCAGTTCTGAAACTATTCTTTGTGGATGGGTAAAGAAAAAGATGATTTTGTTTTCTTGGGGAAATGACCCTGAAGTTTGACTCTTTTTAATCATTTCTGTTGGACATCAGTATTAAGGACTTGCCTCATGGCCTTAAGATTCAAGGAATATTGAAATTATCAGATGTGTGACAAAAATTATAACCAAAATAAATTGCATAGGCTTTCATTTGTTAGAACCAGGAGACCACTCTCAGCTCATTTCAGTACTTTATAATGGTTGATTTAGCCCACAAAACTGTCTGCTTACTGAACAAAGTCTGTATTTTTGCCAGGATTTCATAGGTTTTCCGTTTGCTGCTGCTGCTCAGAAAGCACTCTTTTCAGTGTTGTCTTTTTATTCATTTTATATCTTTTAAGCATTATTTTTGAGTGTTCAGAGGAATTTGAGTTTGTAAATGGACTCACTCATTTGTTTGACTATTTTCTTACATTAGGTATAATTGAAAAGTGACCCTCTCTTCAGAGATGTCAAAAACAAACAAATCCAAGTCTGGTTCTCGCTCTTCTCGATCAAGATCTGCATCAAGATCTCGTTCTCGTTCATTTTCAAAGTCTCGGTCCCGAAGTCGATCAGTCTCTCGTTCAAGGAAGCGCAGGCTGAGGTAAGAGGGTGTGGTTGTATTTTGACACACTTATTGCATTGATTGTGAGGCTTTAAATATTTTGTTGAACTCTTTCTGTGAATGTCAAAGGACATGGGGGTTGAGGGGTGGGCTATAATTTCCAGGTCTCTTCAAACATTGCAAATCCAAAGCAGCTTTTATTACCATGGTGTTTGCTTAATTTTTTGTCTTTTCGGACAGCATGTTCTGTTTCTTCTCATCTACTTTGGAAGAAAGAACATTTAATTTTATTTGAACTGCTTCCTTCAAATGCTCTGACGTGATTATTTTTCACTGAAGTACTTTTGGAGGCTTGGGTCAAAGTTTATTTGCCTTGCCAGTAAAGGAAATATAGCTAAGAATATTATAGATGATCAAGATTGCATCAGAGAAGTCATAACCCACTAAAATAGACCTTTAAAAGCCTTACCAGGAATCATTTACCTGATGTGCCGATTACTAACAAACTACATCTGTTTAGTAAAACACATCTTAAAATTATCTAAAATCACAATTATAGATAACACTTTGGCTTATCATTAAATGTACAAATAATTCTATTTATTGCCGTTATTCTTTAATTCAGTCAATTTTCACACCTTTAGGTGGATTTCCCTATTTCACTTATGTCTTCGAATAGAAAGCTAAATCTCCAGCGTCTCTTCTTTTGATGTGTTGTGAGTTGGGTTTCTCATTCTTTAAAATTGGTTTCATTTTCTTTTGTGAGTAGATAAGAACTTTTCAGATATAAATCTCTCTATCTGAGGTAGGGATATACTGATATAATTAAATATCAAAGGGGGATCTTTATATAACTTCATTCCTTTTGTCAAAGTTGAACTAAGCAAAGATTTCTCACTTTTCCCAGTTGTAACCCCTGCTGTTTGATTCAGATATGTATCTAGATTCTTTTCTTGAATGAATTATAAAATAAAACCAGAGGAAAAGTAGTTACCAGGCTTTATTTTTGAAGGTTTCCATTACCTTACATTATTTCTAGAGTGTCTTAAACAAATGGTTGGTAGAATGGCCCCTCCCCAAACAAGAACCAATATTATATAGAATGTTACACTTTGTCTCTTTCTCAAACATGAGATTTTTTTAAAGCTAATACTACATTTTGAGGAGAACCAGTCCTAGTTTTTTGTCTTCCCCAGGTTTTTAGAGCATACTTATCCATAACTAAATTTTGATTAAGCCTGAGGCTAGTCTTACTCAATTCTATCCCAGCTTTGAACCTCCTAAAAAGAAGAGGAGAAACTGAACTAAATATATTTATTTAATTGCACCAAGGCCTTAAGATGGGACAAGAGTAACTCTTACCTTGTATCCAGAGTCTTGATTTTAACTATTTAAAATGCAACTTTAGCTCAGTTAGTTCTGAAAGGTAATATTTTTAAATGTAACCTACTAAATGGAAATTAAGTAATTGGTTCAAAAACAAGGTGTTATAGGCAAAACTCAGACAAAAGTTGAACTGATAGAAACCAAATTGAGAAATGTTAATAAACTCTGAGCTATTTTTGATAATTAGAATTCTAAGCAGATCTCTCTGGACAGATCTTATTCTGCAGATCATTTGGTATGGTCAGTGACTTGGTAAGTGAGGGACAGACATCTTAAGTAGTAATTATGTCTAGAGCCACCTTACGTGCTATCTTAAAACCTTAAAGATGGTTATTTTGGAAGGATTTTTCACTAGAAAACATGTCATAATGCTTGATTGTAGTTTGACATCTCTGTTTTTTAGAAACAGATAAATTTGCCACTGGATGTTTAATTTTTGTTTCTGGCTTATCTGTTTCATGATTTTTCCCCCCCTTCTGTTTTCCCTCCTACAAGGAATGTATACTCTCCAGAGAGTTTGAGAAACCATATCTTTAAATTAACTTAACTGCTGAGTTCTACAGAATTGGAGAAAATTGTTTCCTTGTATTTCACAGACTGTATCCTTTTAAGTGACTTTTTATAAATAAATTCACTTGCAATCTGCAGAGACTCATGTTCCTGCCTCTGTGCAGTGACTGTGGGGTTGGATGCAGTATGCTACAGGGTCCTCACTAGTAACTGATGACAGAAACATAAGGATGGGAACATGTGCGCTTACATCGTAGGATTGGTGCTGCATCACCTCCTTATGCATAGTCATTTCATGGGGTCTCTCTTAGCTTTGTGACCTGCATCCGCATCTCTCTTCTTTTCTTATATTGTTCCTACTTTGAAAAGTGTGGAAGGTAAGGTCTTTTTATTTGTTAAATTACTCTTAAATAGCAACCATTAACAACCATCAAATGCTATCTTTACCAGTTGCTATTGGTCTTGGAATAGATGAAGATCCTGAGCACCCTGGGTGTAAATATGTAGTAGTAAGCCCATCCCACTTTGTCTTCTTTAGATTAAATGAAACTTTAAAAAAAATACTTAATGTGTTCAGTAATTAAAACATGTCACGTTCACTAAATGAAGTTAATTATAAAATGAACAAATAAAATGCATCTGTTCCTATTCAGGCTAGGCAGTGGGAAAGCTTCCCAATTAAACAGTTTCTGTTCTATATGTACTGGAGGTAATTTTGGAGAGAGTTGCTAGTAACTTTGTAATTTTCTAGCTGCTTAGGAGTGGTGATAAATGATATATCAAAGTTGTCAAGAGTAGAAGGATCTGGGTCTCCAGTGAATTTTTATACCAGTAAATAGTGATGTAGGCTTTTTGGTTGGAGACAAAGCTTCCTGTTACTGACAAGCCTGACATTCATAAACAGTAATCTTTACAAACTTAAATTAATGTTAATTCCAGAATTCTACCTTGCTAAGAAAGTTTATATTGTTAAATGAAGGAGAACTCATCTCTGGCTGGCTTTATGTTGACTTGACAGTGTATAGGTGAGGAGAAGTTGCTTTTATAGTTTCTCTTCGCTAACCCCAGGTGTACTTGGGTGTCAAGGTCATCATGGCCAGATGGTGCCCTCTGGTGGCATCTAGGTAGTATCTTGTAGCTCCGTCACAGAAACTTGACCTAAATAAATAATGAGACCATTTCCAGACCCCAGTAAAAAAGCCATTATTTGAATGCTTTGCTGATGAAATTTCAGTAAATTATTTTCTACTTTAATAGGTGGATCATCCAAGTCCCTTTTTAAGTGTTCTTTGTTGTAGATCTACTGTAACTGTACTCTGTGTAACTCTATGTCTCTTAAAATTAGCTCGGCACAAGAAGGATAGAATGGGGAATAGTAGGAGTCAGAGAACCTAATAATTACCTATGTAGAGACTACACCTTAAGGTCTTCCAGCAGTTACTGTAGTATATTAAGATGGTCTTTGTTATCTATCAATTTATGGCATTTACTTACGTGGATATTCTTTAACTATAGAATTACATCATCATGTAAGGTATGCTACAGTGTTATTGAAGCCTTGGGTATCTAATTCTTAATAAAATGATTTTACAGTTTTATACTTAATGTGGGCTATAAGCAGTGGGATTTTTGTACTCTTTGAAAACAACTGAAAATGATATATAAGAGCATGGATTTTACAATGTTACCTCTTTGTTGGCAGGTTTTGGTTTATTTGTTTTGTTTTGTTTTTTAATTAAAATGCTTATGTCAAAAATTCAAACATCTCCCTCCCCCCCAACCCCCCCTTTCAGTTCTAGGTCTCGTTCCAGATCTTATTCTCCTGCTCATAACAGAGAGAGAAATCACCCAAGAGTGTATCAGAATCGAGACTTCCGAGGTCACAACAGAGGCTATCGAAGGCCCTACTATTTTCGTGGGCGCAACAGAGGCTTTTATCCATGGGGCCAGTATAATAGAGGCGGCTATGGAAACTACCGTTCAAATTGGCAGAATTACCGGCAAGCATATAGTCCGCGTCGGGGCCGCTCCCGATCCCGGTCCCCAAAGAGAAGGTCCCCTTCACCAAGATCCAGGAGCCATTCTAGGAACTCTGATAAGTCTTCCTCGGACAGATCCAGGCGCTCTTCATCTTCGCGTTCTTCCTCCAACCACAGCCGAGTTGAATCTTCTAAGCGCAAGTCTACAAAAGAGAAAAAGTCCTCTTCCAAGGATAGCCGGCCGTCTCAGGTTACGGGAGATAACCAGGGAGATGAAGCCAAGGAGCAGGCATTCGCTGGAGGCACCTCTCAAGACACAAAAGCATCTGAGAGCTCGAAGTCATGGCCAGATGCCACCACGTACAGTGCTAGTTCTGCATCACGGGCTTCAGCAGCTTCTGAGTTGAGTCCCCGGGAGCGAAGCCCTGCTCTTAAAAGCCCTCTCCAGTCTGTAGTGGTGAGGCGGCGGTCACCTCGTCCTAGCCCTGTGCCAAAACCTAGCCCTCCACTTTCCAGCACATCCCAGATGGGTTCAACTCTGCAAAGTGGTGCTGGGTACCAGGCTGGGACACACCAAGGTCAGTTTGACCATGGCTCTGGGTCCTTGAGTCCATCCAAAAAGAGCCCTGTGGGTAAGAGTCCACCAACCACTGGCTCCACGTATGGCTCATCTCAGAAGGAGGAGGCTGCTGCTCCAGGAGGAGCAACCTATACGAAGAGGCAAGTATCTCGTTTCTGCTGCCTGCTGTGCTTTTATCTCACCAGCTGGCAGTTTAATTGTAATGGGATCTAAGTGAGAGCTCTGATTTAACGGTAATTAGGTGATCCCCATTTCCTAAACTTTGCATTAGCATACTGTAAAAGCAATACCCTAGGAAACCTTTAGCTTAACTCTAGCTTTCCTGCCTTCCTGAATTTATATTGTAGTATAAAGTTACTTTAGACTACTTAGTCATGTTTTCACACTTAAAATTTGCTTTGGATTCTACCACTATAAGCCAGAGAATATTAGAGGCTGTAGGTCAGCTATCAATGAATGCCATTGGAACTGTTAGATCTTCTAGGACCCACCATCTGTTGTGATCAATCTGCATCAGTCATTTATAGTGAAGTTGTACACTCGTACCCCACACCCTGAACTGACGAGTCTGGACAGAATGTGAACATCCAAGGATTAGTCCTGAGGGCCTTGTTTTAAAAGGCCCTGTATATCCCACTAGACCCAGTCAGGCTGCATATTAGGAGAGGATATGACAGTGCTTGCTTGCTTGCTTTCCATTCTGGGGGACACGGTGAGTTGGAACTAGAATTTTTGTGTAGTTGTTTGGATAGGTACTGCAGATTTACCAGGGAAGTTGCACCTGGGATCAGATTGCCAGGAGGAACTTAATGGGCAAGTGGTTTCCTCTTTTCTTTTTCCCTTAATAGCATATTCTTTGATGCCTTGCTGTCCTTTGAATCTTCTTTGCCATAGTAATGCAGCTATGATTTGATTAGACTTTCTCCATTAATAGTACACATGAGATGTTCAGAATGTATACTTTCCAGCCTTCAGAAAGTCTACTTTAAAATGTAAGTTTGTTCCCTCCCAGGAGTGCATATCAAAAGACTTTAGGTATAAGCTCTGCTTTTCCACAAGAAAGAGTAGGATGATTTTCCCCCTCCTCCAATTAACCTATATTTTGTTTTTATTTGTGTTTGCAGTATATTTCATATTTAGATCTTCTAGGTGACTTGAAGCAAATTTGAAGTCTCTTTTGAGACTTGTTTTTCCAAATGTGAGTTGTATAAAGCAAAACTGTCCAAGGTTGAACATTCTATATTAACTTTGCTGAAAACAGATTTTAAGTGACTGAGTGAAGGTTGGATAAGACCTTAATTTTTTTTTTCCTAGACCACTTACAGGTAAGTAAGTTTTTGTTCTTAGTATCCTAAACATTACCTTTGTTGTTTGATTTTTGGTTGCTTTCGTAAGACACAGCTCTGTGGACAATATATCTTTTAAATGCCGAGTTCATAGATCTATGAAGGGCAGTTATTCAGAAGTTATTAGAAAGTTGCCAAGTAGAAAGTCTTTTGGGTAACATTGGAATGCACAAGACATATTTATTCAGAGAACCAAAAACCCAAGACCATATGGTATTCTATAGATCGGGTTGCTTAAGAAGCTCTTGTGTGTCTCCCTTGTGTTTTTATAAATAGGTACCTAGAAGAGCAGAAAGGAGAGAATGGAAAAGATAAGGAGCAGAAACAAACAAATACCGATAAAGAGAAAATGAAAGAGAAAGGGAGCTTTTCTGACACAGGCATGGGTGATGCAAAAATGAAATCTGATCCTTTTGCTCCCAAAACTGATAGTGAGAAGCCTTTTCGAGGTAGCCAGTCTCCTAAAAGATATAAACTCCGAGATGACTTTGAGAAGAAGATGTCTGACTTCCACAAGGAAGATATGGATGAGCAAGATAAAGACAAAGCTAAGGGAAGGAAGGAGTCTGAGTTTGATGATGAACCCAAATTTATGTCGAAAGTTATAGGTGCAAATAAAAACCAGGAGGAAGAGAAGTCAGGCAAGTGGGAGGGCCTGGTATATGCACCTTCAGGGAAGGAGAAGCAGAGGAAAACAGAGGAGTTGGAGGAGGAGTCTTTCTCCGAGAGATCCAAAAAGGAGGATCGGGGAGGGTCCAAGAGAACCGAAAGTGGGCACAGGGGTTTCGTGCCTGAAAAGAATTTCCGAGTGACTGCTTACAAAGCAGTCCAGGAGAAAAGCTCATCACCTCCTCCAAGGAAGACCTCTGAGAGCCGAGAGAAACTGTCAGCCAAAGGAGACTTTTCCACTGGGAAGTCCTCCTTTTCCATTACTCGAGAGGCACAGGTCAATGTCCGGATGGACTCTTTTGATGAGGACCTTGCAAGGTGAGATGTAGTTTTTGATCTTCAGAACTTTTTTTTTTTTTTTTTAAGATTCATTTATGTGTACAGAATTGGGACTATAGGCCAGACGTGCCGGGGCAGTGCGAGGATTCGAGACACAGTGGGGAGCAGAACAGGCAGATTGACAGAGTACACTGCTGAGGGGAGCAGTGAGTGAAACAGGAGATAATCCGCTGTGCCATGTAGATCACCTCCCCTGCTGGGGATCTAACTTGAGTTGAAGTGGTTGTGGCTATCTTCTCAGTGCTGTGCTTTAACCCATTTAGCCACCAGGGAGGGCCCTTGATCTTCAGAGCTTTAGTGTCCTAAGTCATGTCTCCTAACCACTCCTCACCCCCCTCTTAAACCCCCTCTCTCCCCCCAGCCCCAACCCTGAGGAGATTTTGGAACCAAATCAGGACCCTCTTGTACTTCCACTGCTGTCCAAGTTTCAGTGCAGATACCCATTTTCGGTACAAAGTGTACTGGGTGTAACTGGGTGATTATGTGTTTGGGTTAGTATCACAGCAGTGAGCAGTGGTAAAGCATTTTTTTTTTTTTTTTAAATTATTTAGTCTCTGGCATTCTTGCTGCTGGGTCCTCTGTGCTTCTTTCCAATCCATTATACCCCTCCCTACCCCATATTCCCAACCTTTCTAGACCTTATCATCCTGGTTTTTTGTTTTGTTTCTTAATGTTCTAGTGATATCCTTTTCCTGTGGAGCCATCCAAAATCCATTTCTCCATTCTTAGCCTCATCACCAGAATCTTAATTACATGCTTCCACCATCAAATGATAGAGGAGTTTTAGAGTTAGACTAGGGAAGTGGGGGCAGAACTTTAGAAAAGAGTGGTGTGACCCAGGCTTACTGTTTAATATATGTATTTTTTAATTACTAAACTTTTTTTTTTTTTGCATCATTCTTCATTTTGTACATTTTTTCATCTCAGTTGTATAACCCTCATGGACTTTTACCACCACTTCACCCATGTGCCCTCACCATAGTCCATTGTGCTCTTCCCGCCCCCGTTTTGATCCTGTTCTCCTCTCCATCCCCGTAGAATGTCTCCGGTTTATAGTTTGTTGACTTTCATTTTTATTTTATTACAAATGCTTTTTGTTTAATACTTAAAATTTTTTGTTTAATATTTTAAAGGTTTTATAAATAGGTACCTAGAAGAAGAGAGTGGAAAAGATAAGGACCCAGAAACAAATACCGATAAAGAGAAAATCATCTTTTGACTTTCAGTGTATCTTGTTACAGTTGGACCTCTCTGTAATTTTTTTTTTCAGACCCAGTGGCTTATTGGCTCAGGAACGCAAACTTTGTCGTGATCTAGTCCATAGCAACAAAAAGGAACAGGAATTTCGCTCCATCTTCCAACACATACAGTCAGCTCAGTCTCAGCGGAGCCCCTCAGAACTGTTTGCCCAGCATATTGTGACCATTGTTCATCACGTTAAAGGTGAGTACAGACCCAACCTGCTGCCAGCTTCTTTTCTATGTTCTTTTTAGCAGAAGGATGAGTAGGTGAACAAGAGGGCATTGAGGCTCTGTATTTCCTAAATAGGGTCTTTGACCTTAGTGACTGACTTAAAGGAGATTCTTGCCAGGGAGGACTTTCCAATATTTTAATTTTAGAGGTGAACATTTTGAAATGCTGGTAACTGTAATCATGAAAATAAGTAAAATCCTTCTTATGAAGGTTTAAAATGCTTGGAAAAGGAGCTATGAAAAGCATCTTTTCCAGTATCTCTTGTCTTTTTCTGTCTAGTAGGTAGATGACTCTCCAGGTATTTTGTGATGTTATTCTACACATTTCTGTCATTTCCTGGTCTGTTCGAGGTGGGCAGGTTGGGGAATGGCAGAGAAAAAAGCTGGGTTAGGTCAGTTACAGGTTCTATCTGAAATTTCAATTCAAAGAGAGTTGGTGCTGGAATTCAAAGGGATACAAAATCAAGGTTTCTCTCATTTATCTAAGACATGAAAGCTGCAGTGGAAACCCAGTGCCCAATATTGAAGTATGTGTGAACTGACCAGTTTTCCTTCATCTTTTCAGTATGTTTGTGTGGATTTGACTACTTTAATTACATCTCTCTGGCTGCAAGTTCATGCAGAAGAGTTAGATAATTGATCTGCCTTTGGTAGAATATTGTGTTTTGTTCGTGTCCCCACAGAACATCACTTTGGGTCCTCAGGAATGACATTGCACGAACGCTTTACTAAATACCTAAAGAGAGGAACTGAGCAGGAAGCAGCTAAGAACAAGAAAAGCCCAGAGATACACAGGTGAGGACCTTGCCTTTCACTGGAGGTTATCATAAAGACTGCTCTTATTTTTGCCATGTTAAGTTTATTAGCAGCAAAAATAGGGTAGCATCTTGTAGACTACAGGGTAGCAGTGGGTACTTGTAGTTGTGAGTTGAAAGAACATGTTTTGATGACTAGTTTCTCACATTGGGCATGAAGAAGAAAGGGTTATTTGTTTTTTAAGATTTATTTATTTATGCATACAGAACTGGGGTACAAGCCAGAGGTGCAGGGGCGGTGAGAGAATTCACCAAAGACAGTGGGGAGCAGCGGGCTGGTCAGGAGAGGTCTGCCGCGCCATGAGGATCACCGCCAGGGCTGGGGATTGAACTCATGCTGAAGTGGCTTTAGCTTCTCAGTGCTAACAAATGGAAACCCAAGATTACTGTGAGCTTTCTGTAGATAGAAGAAATGCTTTTTGGTTTTTGGTTTTGGTTTTTGTTTTTGTTTTTGTTTTTGTTTTTGTTTTTTTTTTTTTTAAGAGACCAATGTATATCAGTTATTTGGGGGGAAGACTTTAGTGAAATGGAGTCCAGGGGTGAGAGAGCGTACACAGAATTATGTTAAAGAATTTAAAGTCCTATTCAGCAAGTTTAAAGAATAATCATAATTTGGTTATGGGAATCTTTTCAGCAAATAGGGACTTTGTTGAGAAACAAAGTTGGCCTTAATCTTTAATTCCTTAATAGTCAACTTTTGAACTTGTTGCTTTAGAAAAGAGTTTGAACAGCAGTCCTGGATTTACAGTCTTTTGGGTGATGTGTATATGCCAGTCAGTGTTTCCCACCTAGAACTAGTCTCAAAGGTGAATGAACAATAGGCACTATACTTTACTCCTCAAGATGGATGTTCTTTGAGGTTTAGCAGGACATAATTAAGATGTGAAATTGAAATTAATAGGCACAGCTGTTGGTGAGTGTGCCTTTGCCTTTCTGGCTGTAACAGTACTGAAAGAGAGTTAAGAAATTTCTTTTGTTTGACTTCAGGAAGTTAACATTGTCATACATGCAGGCCTATGGAAAAGTGTGAGTATAAAGCAAAAATATTAGTAATAGATATGAAAGTCATAAAATATAATAGAAAGGAATACCTGTATGATCCCCTTACCCAGCTTACCAGTCTAAATTCACACTGTGGAATAGTAAAACAGGTTTTTGTGTTTTTAATTGTAGGAGGATAGACATTTCCCCCAGTACATTCAGAAAACATGGTTTGGCTCATGACGAAATGAAAAGTCCCCGGGAACCAGGCTACAAGGTGAACTGTTGCTTTAATCAGTAATTCCAACAAAATGAGTGCGTTGGGCATGAACTTGACAGAAATGTGTTTGTTTAAATTACTCTCTACTTAAGTTTGTGTTTTTCTTTTAAGGATGGGCATAATTCTAAAAATGAACTACAAAGGGTTAATTTTTATTAAATGTATCAACAACCTTTGTGAAGTGGTTAGAATATGGTAAATGACCCCAAAGTCTATTGAGGTGAGCTTGAGAAAAAAAAGAGAGGAGTTTTGGAACAAGTGCCCATGATGAGAGAAGAAACTTTTTGTGATATTTTTCTGCTTGTAAGTATTATCAAATCAACTATATACATGCACTATTTCCAACCATGATTTCAAAAAGACATGCATGTCAGAGAAGAGGGAAATGATTCATAACTTAGTAGACTGTTTTAAGCAGCTAGTCCAGTTTTTCTAACATTGTACCATATCTATCATTTGTTGGTTACCGTTATTTAAAGCTAAACATTGATAACCCAGCTACATTTGCAATGATGTGCACGGAAACAGTGTCATTAAGCGGTTAAAGCTTGTATGCAATCTTTTATTATGAAATACTAGATTTGGGGTTTTTTTTTTAAATCTTAGTATTTATTGGCCTTGATTCACATAGACCATTGAAAACTCTTCTAGACTAGTTTTCAAACAAATTTGTCTTGTTGGTTGAATGTGATGAGAGGTACTCTTGCACAGTCTCTTCTTTCCCACCCCCCCTTTTCTTTTTCCAAGTACCCACCAGCTTGGCACTACCCATGTGAAACCAAGGTTTCGAAACATCAGAAGAGATCTCGTCCTCTGTGCCTCATAAAGCCAACTCATTAGAGGTGCTGTCTGCACTGCCTAGGGGGAGCAATGGCTGCAGTTTTCCTTTTTTGTCTTTGGAGGATGCAGAGGTCTCGTTCCCTGTCGCAGATACAAAGAACGTGATAAAATACACTTGCTGCTTATTTCCAGCCCTATTAATAAAAGTTAAAACTATTTAAAAAACTCAGGAACTTCTAATAGTGTGTAAGTAAAATGTTAATGCAGAGTGAGGCGTTCATTTCTTCATCTTTTAGGGAGGTTTTACTTCTAGGAGACAAGTCTGAGTATATAATGTCCCTGAAGTTACTTGCATCCCTGTTCTGAGTTTCCTAAGAGCTGTTGGAAGCCATGGTTAACAGAAGCTCAGGGTGGAAGGCCTTTGCTGCTGCTGCAGCTGGGTTCATTGTACCTCCTTGTCTGCAGTATTCATACCCTGATAGTTATGTTCCCTAGGAAGCTAGCGAAAAATGTTTTTTCATTATTTCCAAAATAAACTTCAACATGGTATTGCCACTTTATGAATTCTATGGTAGGATTTTTGCTGTTCCCTCTTTAGAGAAATTTCTCAGGTTACTTAAGTTTTTGATTCCCAGTAGAGAATAAATCCAGGGTGGTTGCTCAATGTAGGTAAGGAAAGAATGACGAGTATTTCCATTCCTTCTGGTAACTAAACCTGAGGCAGTCCAACCTAACCACCTTCTATGCCACTTCTGGCTGTCTAAACTTTTAGCTCAACTAGTCATTACAGGGCCACAGAAGAGACAGGCAAAACAGGATCAATATGTAGTAGTTTCGGAAGGCTATCATTTTTAGCGAACTGGTTTGTTCTCTGAGGGGTCCTCACGAAGTGACTTCAGTGGGACATCCTGTATCCCTCCCAGGCTTGTGTGAGGTACCTCACAATTTCCAGTGCTTCCTTTGTACCACTCCGTTGGAGTAGAAACCACATTTGTGGGATGGTTGAGTTGATGACTCTGAATCCCAAAAACCTTAATTTTTATTTCTGTTGGCAGGCTGAGGGAAAGTACAAAGATGATCCTGTTGATCTCCGACTTGATATCGAACGTCGTAAAAAACATAAGGAGAGAGATCTTAAACGAGGTAAATCAAGAGAATCAGTGGATTCCCGAGACTCAAGTCACTCAAGGGAAAGATCTGCTGAGAAAACAGAGAAAACTCATAAAGGATCAAAGAAGCAGAAGTAAGTAATCCCCTATGTGACAACATTCAGACTCCAGTGTGGCATCTCTTGTCGGCTGCCTCAGGCAATACCACGAGACCTTCCAAATCACAAAAATTTGGGTTTGATAATGATAGCAGTTTGTGCATTTTATTCTTTCATACCAAGTAGCTTGAAAACAAAACCTTTGCATCGTGTAAGTATGATCCTTATCTAAAGAATGCTCCCCAGGAGATTGACCATTAAGTTGGCTTATATGGACAGTATGGAGAATCATTTAGGAATTCTTTTTACAGTGTTTTCAATGTATTCTTTCTCATCACAAATCTTCATGGAAAGTTTGTGGGGGTTTTTGTTTTTTAACCAGTGGCTCCAAGTCGTCGTGAGGTAATAACACTGTTTAATCAGAGAAACAGGGTGGTACCAATGGGACGAGATTGTTGATCTTAAATGCTTCATAGTTTCATAGACACCTCCAAGAGAGGTGTTGCAAACATTCTTTAAACAAAGATAGTATTGTTGAACTTCATAGGGCAGCTTTCATGCCAAGGTCCCCGTTTCTATTTACGTTTTTTAAAATTCCATGACTTTTCAGTCATGTCTCATTGAATGAAGCAGAACCCATACCTTCCTATAGAAGCAACACCTCTTCTGTTTCTGGAATTCAGCTGGCAGACATTTTCATACCTACTTTGCCCACTTGAAAGAGCTGGGGCTCACAATGATTTGCTTAAAGACCATACAAGTATCAGCTGACATCAGGACTCATATCTGTGTTCTGCTTAGTCTCACTTTCAATTTCCTACTTATGCAATTGGAGTCCTAGCTGCTTTAGAGCTGCACAAAGATAAAGACCTTGATATCTTCAAGATGGAATGGAAATGATAGTACAATAATCCTCAACATTGTAGCTTGTGGAAAGGAAACAGAATTTGCCTCAGATGTTTCAGAGTTGGATTTGAATTAATGATCTTGATTTCCTGGAACACGAGCTTTCTACCATGGTTTGTGCTGTACACTGCGTGAGTCTTTTGTGTTTGCAACTTCTGTGATTGGCACAAGAACCAAATGGGTGTTTCTGTTAGATGGTAGTTTGTCATTCAGTATATATACCACACTTCAGTTTACACAAATTTTCTCATGATTAAGGAATGATTTACCAGAGATCCACATAGTTAATAAGTAGCCCTAGAACTTAATTCTCTGGCTTTTGTGAAATTTTTTTAAATCAAATTTTACTGACCCATCATTCATTTGTAAGACTATTTCCACAGGTGTAGCCACACATCTTGATAGGTATATATGTTACACTCACCCACTAGAGTTCTGGTGTAATTAATCTCCTTTACCCATTGAGCTTTCCCTCTTCTCTGGTAACTACTGTTTTTTTCACAGTCTTAAGTTGTTTTTTTTGGGGTTTTTTTTCACACGTGGAAGTGGTCTGACAGGTGTCTGGCTTGTTCTCCTAACATAGTCACCTCAAGTTCCATTTGTGTTGTTGAAAAAATTTGCACCTTTGTTAATGGCTGAGTAGTGTCCCACTGACATAAAACAGTTTTTATGCAGTCTTCCGTTGATGGCATTTAGACTGTTCTCATGTCTTTGGCTTTTGTGAAAGTAATGCTGTTAGGAATATAGAGTTGCATATATTTTTTCAAATTCTGTTTTTATACCCAGATAAATACATAGAAGTATTGCTGGACCATATAGTATTTCCATTTTTTCCGTGTTTTTTTTTTTTTTTTTTTTTTTTTTTTAAGGACTTTCCCTAACACTTTCCACTGAGGCTGAATCACTTTACATTCCCACCAGTAGTGAATGAGGATTCCTTTTTTCCATCCCCTAGCTAAGCAATTATTGTTTGCAGTCTTTTTGATACAGGGCAT